TTACACTTGTTTGAATCAAGGCCATTAAGTCATAGTTTGAGTGTGTAGGTATTGCGAGACGTGGAGACTGTGTACACTACTGATTCGACATCCTAAGACACATTCATGCCCATTTTACCAGAGTTGCAAAATAATAATGTATTTATTTGGAAGAGGCATTTGTGTTTGAATTTTTTTATGAAGAATGCAGTTCCAAAACTGAGTCCATTTTTTATGTTTCCCAGAGGAATACATCCCTTGTTAATTTACCAAATCTGCTTCAGGAAAAGTTTTTTATTTCAAAGACTTTGTTAAATGAACTGAGTAAGTTCTGGAACTACACCCGTCATTTGTGACTGTGTGTAGGGGCTGTCATCCAGGGAATACAAGTCAAATCTTTTGTGACTTGCAGTTAAAAATGTTTTCTATTACAAGGGGCCGATGACAATGAAGTTTGGTCTGGTTCTGCTGCACATCGTGCTTGTTGGTACACAAATCTGGGCTTCGTCTTTCTACAAAGAAGATTTAGAGGACAACGAGTTTGCTGAGTTTGAAGATTTTGAAGATGAAGAAAGAGATTATCAACAAGTGCAGGCGCAAAATGGAAGGAAAACTGAAAAAGTTCAAGAGGTAAATGAAGAGCAGGATGGGGAAGAAGATGATGCCATTGTTGAGGTATGAAATTTTGAAGTAACAAAAATGATGATTCTTGTGTGAAGTTGTGAGATGGTGACAGTAATATTTTAAAATATACATTAATTATTGTTTGTTAGTCAGTAGTTACAAATATGGTGACAGTGCAAAACTTCTGTATTTTATCAAACAAATTTAACACAGACAGAACCTGTACTTCGGTTCTCCCCATAAATAAAATTCGTCGGCCATTTCTCACCCACGTCTCTGGTAGAGGCCTTGCGATTGGCTGATCACTTGTCCAAGGAGTCCCTACCAAATGTCTAAAAATAGATCAGAAACATCCGAAGGGAGGCCCCTATACTCCATGCAGGAGAGAAAAGGGCGGAAGGAGAAAAAAAGATTTGAGGTTTTCTTGGCTGTGAGTGTGAAGATTGCTGTCTTCTGGGTTGTTGCGCCATGTAGTCTGGTAGAAGTTTATCAACATTTTAGAGGTCATCAGGGCGATGATGGTGGCAGCAAGGGCCACTGAAACGCCGGTAAACTTTTACCGGACTACACGGCGCAACAACCCAGAAGACAGCCATCTTCAATAAGAAGAAAGGTTTTCACCTATTTGTATCTATTAAACATTCTAGCCAACTAATGGATTAAAATCTGTAACCCTAGAAGCAGCTGCCTGTTTATTAAAACATGCAGCAAAAAATATTTATCTGGCTCATCATATCTGTAGTTTCATTTTTTGTAATGATTTTGGGTGGTAGTTTATTTTATCCTTCAGAATAAAACTTCTGAAAACAAGGATTAGGGATGTGTGTATTATTTCAGGATGATGAAAGCGAGTTTGACCACTTCCAAGATGAAGAGGAGTTTGAAGGTTTTGACGGTGAACGTGTCGGCAGCAGTGTCAGGATGGATGAGAGGGGAGCACCAGAAATTACCATAACCAAGGTACCATGAGAACAACAGGCAAAATAATGTATTTCAATACATTTAATAGCAGATGTATGTCTGTGCAGTTTTCATTGTGGATAATATTTACAACAGTGAAATACCATGATAAGAAATTTCAGAATTTCTCAGAATATGTTTGGAAAAGGTTATTTCAGTGCATCCTTATGCCAGTCAACAAGATTACTGTTCAAGGGGAGAGGTAAATGGTGATCAGAAGACTTACAGTGAGTTCTTTGGTGATTTTTATGAACTCATTGCGGAAGAAAGTCTACAGCTGGAGCGAATTTCAGATATTGATAAGAAACAGATTCCTTTCAGGAGTTTCTTCCAACAAAGACGTAAGCTTTTTGGTCAGAATTGTGTGCACCTGAGCGCAAAACAATTACAAAGGAATAACAGCTGTGATGCACCAATGTTACTGGTTCACAGTGACCTTAGTTCTGCAGGGTGTAGCTGATAATTTCTTTAATACCTCACTATTATCGTGGATAATCAGGAGCCAAATTGGCTGAAAAGGCATTGTTAAATGAAACAAAAATGAGGGACCTCCCTATAATACAGAGAAGCCTTGATTTCAGGGCACGCTGTTGTACCGTACGTTGAAATCTTTACAAAATATAATTTCACGTGCATGTATTTTCCTATGTAGGAATGTAATTTAATTTTATTTGACAGAAATTTGTTTTAAGGTAGTTTATGACAACTGACTTAAAGTGGAAACATCTGAGGAAGACGAAAACCTTTCTTTAAGGCACTGCATAAATTCGTGTTTAGAATGACTAGGAAACGTGGATTATGTTTTCCAGGTTCCATTGCATTTTCGCACCGACTGGGACAGCTTCTATCTGGAGATACTGATGGTTGCAGGACTGGTGGTTTATGCATTGAACTTCTTCGCAGGGAAAAGCAAGAACAGGAAAGTGGCAAATGCTTGGTTTACGTCACACAGAAGTCTGCTAGAGGAAAACTTCAGTCTCATAGGTGTGCTTATTTTGCGAACAAAACTTCTCATTTAAGATTCTGTCATTGTAGTAACATTACACAAGTCAAGATTGACTTCCGCTCGTCGTCATATCACCAGTGGTAAGGAAAATGCGGTGGTGTTATGTCAACATAGCTTGAATTAGCTTTCCATAGTAGTGATTTAGGCTGAGCTCGTTACGGCTGTGTGGCGGCAAACACGGTAGTTATTGATTAAATAAAATTGTGTTTCACCGCGTTTGCTTGATTGGTACCGTGCATGCTCTTCATACTGCATGTACATTGGGAATTATTTCAGACCGTAGGTCTGTCTCCAGACATTCCTGGGGTACCGTCTATAAGAAGCGAAGATAAATAGCGACATAGCTGAATGGAAGTAGGTGTGTGTAGTGGCAGGTCATAGAATTTCTTCTGTTAAAAGCATAATGGTTATTTCCAATCGTGAGCTTCATTCTTACACATTTCACTGTAGCTTGTTCTGATTGCTATTGTTTTCCAGCATTTTTTAGGTTTTTATTTTAATTTGGTAGGTGATGATGGGACAAAAGACAACGAGAATCCCGGCCTTTCGAAAGACTCCGAAAGCGTTTATACTCTTTGGTGCAGTGGCCGGACGTGTTGCGAAGGGATGCTTGTTGAACTCAAGTTGCTCAAGGTAATTACGTAAAATGACCATTCAAAATATTCACGCTGTACCACAGAAAGACACCTCTTGAATGATATTGTGTATAAGGAAGAAAATTTGCGGTTATCCTGAAATATAATTTGGTTCTTAGATTTGAGGTTATCACAGCAGTGAAAGTGTTGATGTTCTGGCTGGAAGATGGAGCCTGCGTGTTCCTCCAAAATGTTGCTCAAACTACAAGTCAGACTCCAGGAGACCGTTATGTACACGACGTAGTTGTATACGTTTGTCTATATTCCGTGAAATACCCGTTTAATAAAGTACAGTATGAGCCAGAAATGTGTACATAATTCAGCAGATATGCACATGAACTTCATAAGAATTTCGTCGCATTTCTTTAAAGAATAATGATGGGAGATGGGACAACATATCATACCATTCAGATATGAGATTTCTCTTCAGTGGAGCATAACGTAGATCATGTTTCTTATTTCAGAGACAAGATTTGGTATCTGTGATGGCGCAGTTCATTAGACCAAGCAGTGACCAGGTGCACATCAAAGTGGACATGAACAAGGAAGATATGGATAGTTTTGTTTTCTGTTTGGCCACAAAGAGGTCTGCTTTGCGTCTATCAAAAGACATGGCTGATTTAGTAAGTTACTTAAATATGTGGATAGTAATGTTGTCCGTATTTAATTAGGGGTCCGCAGTGGCCGCGCGGTCTGAGGCGTGGGCCTTTTGCCGCTTGGTCGCTCCGACCGTGGGTTCGAATCCCACTCAAGGCATGGATGTTTGAACTGAATTCTTAAATAATTTAGACAAACTTTAAATTCAAAGGGTTAATTTTCAGTTATTTTTCTTATGAACAGAGTATCTACTGTCCAGAGCGAAGGTCTGTTGAGAAGTATGGGTTGCCTTCCAACTTCAGTCTCTTATGTGAGATTGTCGAGGTAGCAGCCTCGTTGTTGGACTCGCGCATTGTTACAATCATTAACAAGTATGCTGACATCATTGAATACATCCATTTCTCTGATCAGTTTTCAGGACCAAAGCAATCTGAGTGAGTCACATTAAATTTTTCTCCAGTAATTTATTTTTGCTCACGTAAACCTCATAATTAAAGGATTTTGGTATGTATTTAGGTGAATTAATTATGGTAATGAGGATTTGAGGTTTTTGTGGCGGCGAGTCTGGAGATGGCTGTCTTCTGTGTTGTTGCGCCATGTAGTCTGGTAGAAGTTTACCGGCGTTTTAGAGGTCCTTGCAACCAGAAGACAGCCATCTTTTTTCAGTACTTCACCCAAAATTCTTATGAACAAGTTTTAAATTGTGGGAAAAATAATTCTTAAAGTTTATCACAGTTGATACATTCTTTCTTCTTTTATGGCTCTGCGGTCCGTATTCGGTCCACGGCCTCCTCAATTCTCCTCTTCAATTCGGTCCTCTGTTAGGTCTGTCTGTCCGAGGCTTTGACTGAGGTCTCGAAACATATTCCTTTTTACCAACCCCCAACCTGGAAGGATACATCTTTCAATGGTTATTAATTTGTATCATTTGGTTTTTACTTCTTTTAAATTCTTTGTGTTAAATGATGCAATATAAATGTATTTTCTGCATGATGTGGAATTACTTCGCAGGGATTTTAATGTCACCAAGCTGCCAGACACGAAGAAAGTGCTGATATTTGCGTTCAATATTCCTGTGAAAGGAAAAGCAATACATGAAGCTGTGATACAGATGCGACCGCTGCTGCAGTTCGTCTTTTATTGCATGGATAAGGTTAAGAGATTTAAACTAAGTAAAGAGGTATGTGTGAAGTTTTATGACATTTAATCCAGATCATGTTCGTCATCAGTGATAATTGCACTGCCATATTCAGGGACGAAGTAACAGTGATACTTCTTCATCTTGTTTAATAACGGGTTAGAACGGAATTTTTAACTCTTCGTGTGGATGCTGATTGATGATGACAAGGTGTGATGGTAAAGTTTGAAAAATTAATATTATTACTTGTACCCCAAGTTTAAGGTTTTTGGTTGGTAGTAAGAAATTGAAATGTGTTTATGTGAACAAATGGTGCTCAGATGTTTTGTTATGGAGTCGGGTGTGACTTGGATTTGAAGTATTTACCTCTAAAACAACTCTATAAGTTAGGGTTACATTATACAAGTCTTCATTTTGAGAATTGATTTACAGATGGGCCTTTTTGTTCAGAATATTGGAAAAGTGTGGTTTTGGTGTTTTTTACAGGCAAAGAATAAGGCTGAGAAAAACAGGTTGCGTGTCGAGGAGGCGTTCCTGAAGACGACTCATTTTGTTCGTGCAGAAGCAGCAGCGGCCCGCAGGGAGGAGAAAAAGAGGCAGGAGAAAGAGAGGATTCTTTTGGTAAGTAATTGCCGAGTTAACTGTAAGCAGCTGGCGGGTCAGAAATGTTATGAACGTTGTTTACGTTCTGACATCTGCGACTCATTGTATACTGTTACTGTTTTATGAATATAAATGGGAGATGCAAAACTGAATTTTTGCAATTTTTTTAGAGGCCTTCCTGATGTTGAGTTTTTGTATACCTGTGAGAGATTATTTTGTATTATGTCTGTAGCGTTGTATGGAATCTGTCACGGTAAGTGAATGGGGGATTGGTCGTACTTTATATAAATAGGCACTTAATTTGTTTGTTACTTGAAGGATCTTTTAATTCAACATACAACATTTTCAGGAGGATGATCCTGACAAACAGAAAAAGTGGGAGGATCGTGAAATGAAGCGCCAAATGAAGAAAAAAGCTCCAAAGATGAAGCAACTTAAAGTTAAAGCATTATAAACACAGTTTAGGCAATTAAATATGAGTAGTTGCTGTCATGTTTTATTATCGTGTTTATCGAATCTGTTTGTCATGGGAGTAGTTTTATTTATTCATAGTATAACACATTAGTATATAGTGAGTGACATTTTGTAAACTGTGTAATTTTCTTTCTTTATTGTTTAAAATGTCTATTTTATTGTAAAAATAGCGTCATGCAGTGATGGTGCAAGGTAGTGTAAAATATTTACTTTGTAGAAAGGTAAATAAAACCAAGTTGATTCGGTGTGTACTGAACAGAATTTAGCATTCCCTTTCTAAAAGAAAGTTGCTTTTAAATATGAACAGTTGCTGTAGCATTGTTCTTGGTACTTGATCTAAGGAGAAGGTTATCAAGTGGTTAGGCTCTTTTAGTAAATTTAATTTTAGGTAAGTTTGGTGTTTAATGTTTAAACACAAAAGGAAATCTTGTGCAAGAGATGAACATCATGGTATTTAGGTATATGTAATTACAAATAATGCATTTGGAAGATACGTATGCTGCAGATTAGAGTAGAATATCTTTTTATTTGTTGCTACACAATATTTGAATTGAATTTATTTTTGTGCTAGGGCAAAGCTTACAAACCATCGTACTACAGGACTATTGGACAGACATTAACTGTGGCAGTATTCTTTTCCGACTCTCATCCAACCATTGAAACTTATCAATACCCACTTGTAACCATTCCATATCCTTGCTTTTTATTTTTTACAAATTGATGTTAATATTATCCAACCTCTTAGATCTTTTTGATGGTTTTCACATTTTATTGAAATGCCATCATTATACCTCTCAACTGTTACTGATTAATTTTTCATTGGTGTGTGTTCTGTTAGTATGGTTCTGAACCATGTACTATGTAAATGATGAGGTGCATGCTTCATCTCACAGAATGTCAACTTAGTGGTTAATGTATTTTCATATTATTAAGTTGTTTCCTTAAAATTTTGGGGTAATACCTTAAATTAAGTTATTACTTCTTCCTTCTTATTCGTTTCCAATTATTCATTAATCCAAAAGCTACGGAGTGAATATATGAGTCCATTAATTGAAGCAAATTAAGTCTCACTTTCAAGCTTTTTGAAGAGAATGAACGTGCCAGCCATACAATGAGCTGTGTGACTGGCACAGAAAGTTCAGTTTTAAATGTGCTGCTGTGTTCTGGTTGTAAAATCTTATCCCCTACACTAATTATTTAGTTACGTTGTCTACTAGGGAATTTTTGCGGCGCATTGGCATCTTGAATATAGTTTCGAGTAAATTCATAGATGTCTCTGTATGTCGTAAAATAAAAATGTTGGTTAGTCGTTCTCGGGGGACTGAAGTGGTAAACCTTGTTTGGATTGCATTCAGTGAAGAACATCGAGTCGCGCTGAGTTTGTTGAGTAGGTGATTTGTTCTGTTTGATAGTCTATGTGTTTGTCGTAGAACGTTTGTACTGAATATAACTTGTGGAAGGTTATTTTATGTAAATCTGTGCGGCGACATTTACATTTTCGTACATAATTATTTCACGTCAACTCGGAGAACGCAACGTTTACGTTTTCGTGCATAATTATTTCACGTCAACTCGGAGAATATTCGTGCGTGTTTTTGTTTTTTATTTGATTTGACATATCTGACATTAAGAAGGGGTAAGTCTAGGTTAGTTCATAGTCAGTTTATTTTAGTAACAAATTTCTGAATGCTGGAGAGCATGGTCAGTTAATAAAAGGAGTGCAGAAACGTCTTTATAACCTCTCTAGACAGCCGGCATAATGTCATCACTTTCGCTGTCAGGTTATTTATTTCGTGACCATGACATTACGATGTGCATTTCTGTTGTTCCTGTGTCGTTGTGGATCTCATTCAAAAATATACTCGGATATTTTAACTTTTCTGAATTTTCACATAAAAGTTATAATGGGAATACATAAATTGGTCTTAAAACATTATATTCATAAACATTCTAGTGAAGTAATTGGCAAGTTCCCTCAATTTAGGTATAATACTTTTACAAAAGTTAAATAAACAAACTACTTTTACTGCAATTATGGTTTGATTTATTAATTTTTTGTACTATAGTACTACATAGTTTTAAGTTGTACTTTTGTTTGAGTAGTGTGAAAAATAGAAGTGAGAGAAATTGAATGAGGGAGAATAAACTAGTAAGATTCTCTTTTTTAAACTATTTACTATCTCAAATTCTCAATGAATTTGTTCTTATGTGTACATAACTCATGCTGTTCTAACCTGTTTAAGTACTTAAACTATAATTGTATTTGTTTTTCCTTATATGAGTAAATTTAGGGTGAAGCAGCACTATATGAGCTTCGGAAGAATATTTATTGTTTTAAACTATTTATTAGATTTAGACCAAAGTCAACTCAGTACAGTCTAAAGGCAAACATTTGCATGGCCATCTCAATAATGTCGCAGGCTTGTCGTGTCTGTTAAGTAAGTGGTAAATATGAAGTCTTGCATTTGTTCGTCAGTAATTTTGGTGATGCAGAATTTTGAAGTTTAAAATTTTTTCCTTGCTTTCTCCCTCATTCTGTATCACTAAAATGTTCGTAAACCTAGCCCTAATTGAAATAGAGAACTTATTTATAAGTTCTTAAATGGGGCTTTCATTTTTAGATTGCTTTTTGATTGTTTAAGCATCTTTCTGGTAAGTGTGTTGATGCATGGATGAAAAGGAGAAACATTTCTTCTTGATCATAATTACTGTGAGTGCTAGAACACAAAAGCCAAAAATTTAATTACTGGGTTTAAGTGGGGATAATAACATTGCAATCTACAAAGGCTCGTAGATGGAAGTCTGTGCTGCGTCGTCAATGGATATGAGGAAATTCTGTATTCATTTTCTGCCAAAAATTTGGAATTTTCTGTAACTGCATTCTCAGTGTGTAACCTGTTGTTCTTCTTGTATCTTTATGTTTAATTTTCGTAAACCTTGCGCTTGTGACAGGATTTCTGTACGCCGTCTTGCATGTGCACGTGTCTGGATGCGTTATGTAGTAAGTGAATCGTATATTCTTGACATAATTAAGAGCAGATTTATGTTGGGAAATGATCGAAGTTCAGAATGTCTTTGTTTCCTCGTCCTCGCTCTTAAAATCTGTAAATGTTTATAACTATAGATGCTTCTTTGTCTCCGTAGAGACCCATTTTTGGTCCTGGGCGACGTTAAGTGAGATTTGTGGCGGGCCAAGTGTCACTGGAGCATTTTTTCTCCAAGTTTCTCAGTTTCCTCCTGCTGATTATGGTCCAACTATTACTCCATGATCATCTGTCACTGCCCCAGGAGGCGTTTGGGGCTTGATCTCTGACTGGACTCTTGGTCGGTCTCAGAGTAAAAGCAGTTTACAAATTTATGCATTCTTTATGAGGATGTGGAACTCGGTGTTTAGTTCAGAGGGAAAGATTATACAAATTACTGAGAAGTTTATTTGGATCCGATGTTAAGAAGATGTTTCTGTTGTGGAAAATGGTGGAATGTGTAGCAGAATATTGAAGGGCACCCAATGACAATGCAGGTTACAAGTTACAGTGAAGATAAGTATGGAGAGAGGTTTCAAAACAGGTCTGTACAATGTTATCATCGGCCCGAGGTGATAATTTTGATCTCCTAGGAAGAAATGGAATTAGAAAGCTTATCTGTGCAGTTTATTGCAGGGACATAATAATATCTTCTGTAGAAACTGAAACTCTTGAAATGTCTTTAGCACCTCCACTGAAAGTGTAACTTTAATTTTTACCACAGTTTTTTAATTTGAAAAGAGTTTCACACATTCAAACGAAATTTTCTCTCTTATGAGCATTTTTCATTTTAGACGCTTTGCAATATTATTAGTCGTTTTCCAGCAGGATGTACATTAACACAGTAGCACAGAAAAACAGCTGTGATATAATTCTGACAGGGGTAACCAAAGAATTCTGAGAAAAACCTGCCCTGTAGTCACTTTATCCACCTCAAATCTGACATAGACTGACCTGGGTGCGAACCACCTGAGCTATGTCCCTGTCCGTGAAGCGTTTACGTTTAGCAAGTATTAGCGTCGCATTATACAGGGTGGTCCATTTAAAACCGTGTTTTGCTTCTTGAAGTAGCAGTCGAGGCTGAATTATATCAATAAAAGGCTCTGCAGTTCTGCGTTTTGCCGTCACTTAAGGGGAGAGACGAACTCAGTAGTTGGGCGTCACGTGTTGGGGATTGTTGGAGCCCACGTCCTCGGACACAATAGGAACTTTTTATAAGCGCAGTAACTGAAAGTGAATTATGTAAAGTAATTTCAGCATGTTTTTGCAAACACTTAAGATACGTGGGGCACACCGTAACGGAACTACCTGTGCATGAAAACTCATCGGTAGAAAAGTAAGCGGGAAATTTTGCCTCGTACGGTTGGCTCTACTGCAAGAAGAAACCTCCCACAGAACATTCTTAATGCTGGACACACCAGAGAGAAACATTTAATGAGGTAAATTTGTAGTCTGGATTCAGTATTGTAGAATGATTATATCATGAAGGGTTAAGCATTTAACGTGCGCGGGGAAACAAGAAATACCCACAATAAAGTAGTTGGAAAACCTGAAGCGAAGAGACGGAGGACATTGTTAAAACTGTCCTTAGATCAGAATGTAATGACCGGCTGATACGAGAAGGCTTTTGTGAACGCGGTGATGAACCTTCGTGTTTCGTGAAGGCAGGAGATTTCTTGCTCGCCTTGAACACGTTTATTATCAACTCTAAGAAGTGCTTGGAGGTTTTCGAAGTTGGGACTCTGCGTGATCAAACTGGCGGCCCGCGGGCCGCACTAGACTCGGGACCGCGTGTATTTGTTAATTTTTTTTTTTACAAAAGTGTGAGCTAATTTATTTTCTTTGCTCCGGAGGATGTGAAAAGACAAAATCGTGCTTCTCGTTTCATGTGCGGATTTACGTACACGTGACTTTAAAACCCTGCAGTAGAAACTGTGTCAGGTACGAGCTGTTGAAGGAATGAATTTGTAGGAATATGTAACTGTGTTGTAACCTCTAAGATGCAGCAGCCTTCAAGTGAACGAAATAAGGTTACGTAACGTTTATCGTCGTCATGGTAACCGCCCCTTTCGTTTGTCTGTTCGGTATTAATAATCATATACTTAGACCCAGTTACTGCATCGAGGTAAATCGACTCTACAGCGTTGCATCACGTTTCTTTAAAATCGATTTTATAATTACCTTCTCGCTTATGCTTAATAATTCCATCTGTGTCAGAACCTAAGATCTCGGACCATTGGACTCTTGTAGATCCGTAATATTCCATTTTAGGGGTCGCAGTGGCCGCGTGGTCACTGGGACCGTGGGTTCGAATCTCACTCAAGCCACGGATGTTCGTCCGCGTTGTCCTGTGTACAGGTAGAGAGGCCTTGCGACGGGCCGATCCCTCATCCAGGGTGTCCAATCAACGAAAAGTTGGGACTCGCAGTGCTCAGGAACTTGAAGAACGAGTCGTTCCCAGTAATATTCCATTTTACAAAATTTGTTGATTGATTAATTGTGAGATAGTATAGTTGCGTCATATTGTGATGTTAATTAAAATAATTATTATATTTGTTTACCGTCAAATCACAATAAAATAGTAAGAAAAGATAATTAAAATGATTAAAATATCATCATATGTTCCATATCGAGCATTCGATTTACATCGACGTAAATCGATTGCTCGATATGGAACATATGATGATATTTTAATCATTTTAATTATCTTAACTTACTATTTTATTGTGATTTGACGGTAAACAAATATAATAATTATTGTGATTTAATTTCAGGGTGAGGTGCCTGAGTAAAAGAAATTAAAAATGAACGAAGAAAATCTGCATCTGGCCCAGGCACTCGTTGAAATGGGTCTCGAGGACCAGCCGCAGTTGCCAAAGAAAACGCTCGTCAGCAAAGTCCAGGAAAAGGTCCAAGGATTCAGGTAAGTGATTGGGGGACGCGTCTGGTTGATATCGACGTTTTATATTAGCACGTCAGCCAGAGCGACGGACGGACGGACGGACATGGAATGGGCGCCGTGAGGTGTTTCTTCCGCTCGTGCCAGGGCGGATAAGGCCCGACTCTCATAGTTGTTCACCGAAAATGGCGGCTGAGTGATTGTATCCGGAGGTCCCACGTTCAGATCTCGGCCCAGAGACCCGATGCTTCACTGATGTTTTCGCTGTTTTCCTCAGGCCCTCGAGACAGATATTGGTGCCACACGAATTGTCCTGTCATTGGAGGTTGCATGTAGTCGTCGTTATAACTTCAGAGCTTCGTGTTCGAGTGACCATACGAGCACCAAGGACCTGGAGTAGGCACTTGGTGTATATGCAAATATAAAATCACGTTTGTTGTTTGCGTTGTTGAATAATAAGAACCCTTGTACAAACAACTTGGCTTTTGTCGTACCCGCCTCTTATTGTAACAAGAAAGAACACGCACTTGTCGCTCTGTTTCGACATGTCATCTTGTAAAACCAACTCCATAGAACAGTCTTCGAGACGCCTTTTATATATCCTGAAGTTTCATAACTATTTCCACATCCTGAACCATATTAATTAAGCGCGCGACCGTAAGTCTGTGTGTCTTTGATATCCATTTTAATATTATCCTCTCATATACGCCTAGATCTCCGAAATGCTCTGTCGCCTTTCAGGTATTTGGAGTCAAAGTTCGCACAGTTTTACCTTGTTTTGTGTGAGTGTCGTGTATAATTTTTGAGCCACCCTGTGTGTGTGTGGGGGGGGGGGGGGGGGTATTATGTCACGTCTTGGTCAGCATCTCGCGTTCCCTGGCCGTGCGGTCTGCACGCAGCATTCCTCTTCTCTCGTCTGACCCCAGGGTAAAGCCACGAGGGCAACGACCCTGGTTGACTTCCCTCAGAGGCGACAGAAATGTTAGGTTCGCGTTTCTCGGATATGTGGCTCGCGTTCGTTTTCAGATTGTCATGTGCGCCATCTTGTTTTCCATTTTTTTTTTTTAGGAAAATTTTCTCCGATTAGTTCGGCAACTGTGTGTGTTTTTGCGTGCCAGTCTTTAGTAATTTCACGAACTTAATGATATTTTTTGAAAATTTAACGTTTCGAAAATGCAAGAAATTTAGATATTTTGGGGGGAAATTAAAAACCCAGTTTGTCATTAAATGTTGGAAATGCATGGGGGCGGATGAAAAATGTACATACAATTGTGGCCTGAAAACGTGAAGGAAAAAGACTATTTGCGAGACCTAGTTGTAGATGGAAACACACAATTAAAATTCAAGAAATATGGTGCGAGGTTACGGAATTGATTAATTTCATTCACGATGAGGACCAGTGGCGGGCTCTTGTGTACGCGGTGATGAACCTTCGGGTTTCAGGAAGGCGGGGAATTTCTCGACAGTCTGGGTGACCGTTGGCTGCCCTGATTCACGCGGTTATTCAGGTCAGGTTAGATTCTTCTGCGTGGTGTGAATATACAGGCCGTACTTAATTTGAGTGTTGAACGTAAAATATCCTCATTGGGTGTTCGACTCATCAAAATTAATTTTCGACTTTAAAGAGCTTTGAGTAGGTTTGGAGACATGCTTGAAAGAAACCGGACCAAACTATGCATCAGAGTCCTTTATGACATCGTAATAATTTGTCTATAAAGCCACGGTGGTCTAGCGGTTAGAAGGCTGGCCTTGTAATCCTGGGGTCTCGGGTTCGATTCCCGGCGGTGCCCGAATTTATAACTTGTGTTGGGCAAGGCCGTGGTCTAGGCAACACGGAGTTTTCCTCCGTGGCATCCCAACAATTACTCCATTCACACACAGAAGAAGGCAATGGCAAACCACTTCTGGATCATCTGCCAAGAACGTATATGAACAGGTCCCAGTCCGAGAAAAGGATGGAAGGATCCTGTTCATATGGACCTGTCGTCAGAGAGAACACTAAATAAATAATAAATAATTTGTCAGGCGGCCAAGAAATCTTTTTTGTGGAGATTCATTACCGTGTTAACAAGAGCTCGCGTGTTGATCCGAGCCACGTCATTTTATCTAAGATAGTGAACGGGATTCGTTGTAATTGTTCACCAATTTTCAGGTATCAGAATTCTGAATTTAGCGCAGGCCTAATCGCAGTCGAACCAAGAGCTCGTTCGCCCTGACCTGCATGTTTGAGGTCACTTTAAAAAAATTCCGCCTCTTAATCTCCGCGTACACTTTCAAGTCTTAGCGTTTCGTAATAATCTGCGATTTTTTTTTCTCAGCAAATCGAAACTTCATTCATTCGCTCAAGTCGGGTCGGCTGTGTCAGGAGATGTTCTCTGTTTTTCTTTATTTCATCTCTTTAATTTTCTTTTCCGCGTTATTTTAATAACTCCATTTTACTTTCTCCTATCGGCGTCAGAGAACAATAATTTAAAGCGAAACTTCTGTTCGTCGTGAGATTTTCATATCGTACACGAGCGAGGCTTTGACGACATTGGTCTTATGGGGGGTAACGCCGTGTGGACATGTAGATAAATACCGACGCTTCGGAGAAATATATTGCCTCCATCTTCAGGTCTCAATGTTTTAGTCGAGCTATGAGCTTTCATAGAAGGCTACGACAACGCAGAGTAATGACTGTGCTGTTTACTGACTGCATTAAGTAGGCTTGCTTGAATAAAGGGGCAGATTCCGAGGTCGCGTTAGAACAAATGTTTGATTTCGTAGGTGGATTAGTTCGGAAACTTTGCCGTAAAGGCAGCTTAGCTTGAAGGAGGACGAACTCCTCAGTCACGCCTGGGGACAGATTCGTGTGAATTCTTCTTACTGATGAGATAATTACGCGTGAATAGTAATTCTGGTCTAAGTAAGTATGTCCCACTATACGCCATGTAGGCGTTTGGGGGGAGAGGTGGTATAGCTCCTCTCTTCCTTGACCTCGGCACTAGATGGGGGTGAGTGGTCAGCATCACGCCCCGGCCGGCTTTACCCCCGGGAAAGGACCCCGGTACTCATTGTAGAGGAGGCTGGGTGGGCCCCAGAGCCGGTCTGGACGCAGAGGCTAGAGGAAAAATCCTCTGCCCCCGTCGGGGATCGAACCCCGGCCGTCCAGCCCGTAGCTAGTCACTATACTGACTGAGCTATCCCGGCTCATAATTCTGGTCTATTAGTTTGTGAAATCCTAGTTCATTGTCACGGTTGACAGGTTCCTATTTCGTGACCGTGGAAACTCTAGCTGCTAAAGGCTGCCCCCTTCAAGATCGACACCGCAGATAAGCGTTGTGGATAAGTCTGCTTATTATCTTTATCGCAGTTGAGTTATGACTCTGTGTAATAATAATAATAATAATAATAATAATACGGACATATGGAAATGACTCTACTGTGCGGATGTCACAGTTTGGGATATTGAGCGTATTATGTAAGATTTGTGTCGTAATTACAATGTTAGTTATGACTTCTGTCTTTATGGGTGGTATTTGTTTCTGAGAAAGTCTTCGAATGGAACGAAATTGACAGATAGAACATGTTTCAGAAATGCGTGTATTTTTTATCACCCTGTATCAAGTGAGGTAGTGTGTTCTGCAGTGTAGTTTATTTAAGTGGGTAAAACTTACAGAAGGCAGACGCTGTTAGGGAAGGTTTTGGAACTCTTTATTGAGATTGCAGTCTTCAGCTGTACGCGAGAATTACTTTTACGCATGCGCAAAGCACTCGTCTTTCGAATTGCAAAGAATTCGCTTCTCTCCACTCCCCTGTCACCTATTTTATCTCAGGTCCTAGTATCATCGCCCAACCTCAGGTCGAACGTCATGAGATACAGACAGTTTAGTTTATCTCAGCCCCGAAGAGAGGTTCTGGGATGTAAGCAGAGGGTTTAACCTTATCTTGCGTTTGCTGTCTTAAATCCGGAGTTATGATATCAGCACCAAAAAATATCTGTAAGAAAGTGACGCTGTTGGTTGCTAACACGTTAAGAAAGGAATTTCCTGTACTCCGCTAATGAATTTCGTGGTCCATTAAAATCTATTTAGCCCCCTTGGCATAATAAACTAGCCTTTTTTTAATTTTGGCTTTATGGCCCACATTTTTGAAGTTACTTGTCGTTTTTTTAGAATGCGTGAGAGAATAATTGTTACGAATTTTTAATGAAACTGATGTGAAAGTCATTTTCAACATTCTTATAGAATTATTCTCCGCTAATTTTCCCCGTATAATCGTTTCGTTGGTTTTCAAGTAATTCTGTCTCAGAGTGGAGTCCTTTTGTGAATGATATTTCTAAAAATCAGGCCTTACCTCAAAGAGAACAGTGCGTTTGTTTATTTTGTGTTGGTAAGAACCACATAAATAAATCTGTTTTGGGGAGAGTGGAGAGTTATTGAATGATAATCTCGTAGTGCCTCGAAGGTGTAGGTTCGGAATTAATCGTGTGGTCGTCTTACGAGGAAATCTGTCTGGTTCTTCCGACAGTCTTTTAACAATTTTTACGTGACTTCATGTTTTGACGAGTGTAGTGCCACATGTTAACTGATTAGTCGTACTTCAGTCTTTGGCAGAAACCAAGGTGCCGAGAACCCTATTGAAAAAATTCCGAGACAATTCAAAAATTTCTATTTGGAATATAATTTGGTGTGGAATGCCCTGTTTCTAGCTTTTCAAAGTCGTTCATTATTTTTTTTTTAAGTCTACGAGACGATGATAAAAGAAACGAGAACTCCTTTTTGTTTTAAAATGCGTGCTGTAAGCTTCAAAAAAAGTTTACCGTCTTCTAACTACAAACGCACTGTTCACTGTCTCTTGACAAATACCAAACCATCATTGCAATCATTTCTTTAACATTAACCTACAATCTTCGTCTCGACCTTAAATACGACATTTTTCTTAGGGGCTTCAGCGCAAAATTCTGGGTGTATTTCTTGTTTCATACTTCCGAGCTACGAAGAAGATTCATTCTAACTTCCTGGATTTAAAGTGTGCTAGGCAAATGGGAGTTGTTAGTTTGTTTATGTTTCTGAGTCGTAGATATGATTCGTTCGTTCGTTCAGTTTCATGACGCATGCGCAGACTTCGAAAGGCTTGTCCTTTTCAAAAAGACTCGTTCGTTTCTCCCAAGGGCAGTCGAAACAAATCCTGTGGTTTTTGTGTTATGTTTCGTAGGTTAAACGTCAAGGTGGTGAGACAGGAATGGGTTGTTCTTTGTTTTTAGTAACTCGGAGATAGTAGCGCACCGAAAATAGAATCATGCCACGTTTTTGAACTTGCGTACAGCTGACACAGAAATCTTGCCAGCTGATCAATTCCAGAGCAAATTATTGTCTTATTTTCTGTGGAGTCACCACGGGCAGGCGAAATTTATGCATAATCTGTGAAATCGGTTTTTTTTTCTTCTGACGCTAGTAGTCGCTCAGTTGCCAGTAAATTTAATCCTGGGACTTGTTATTAAAGTTCTGTATAATATTGTCTGAATGTAAGTCGACTGACAGACATTACTTTCATCGTCATAATTTCTTTGTCTCTAGATGAAGCTGTTTTCAAGCGTATACTATGGTTCGGATCCCGTTTTACAGATGTCTCTCTTATATTCTTCGTCATTTTCATGCATTTCACACATTGTACGCCCAATTATGCGTGGCAAAGTGCATATTCTCGTTTTCTGAACCTATTGTCTGAGCCATCTTCTTGTCACGACCCACTGTTTGTAGAACCCGTCTGTCCATTACCGTGTGTCACAAGAGCAAGTAATTTGATCCGGATTCAGACAATATCCTCTCTGTCTCTTACTTTTCATAATTTTTTTAATATTATCCTCCCAAGCAGCCTGTTTCTTTCAGGTTTTCCGACCAATATTTTGCATGCATTTCTTATCTATCCTATCTATTCTACATGCTCTGTCCATTTTATCATCCTAATATTTAGTGAATAGTTTACCTGCATCATCCATTCTTTTTACAAATCCCAATTATTCCCCCATAGGGCTTAAGCTACGGTGGTAATGTATTCAAATTTTTTTCAAAAATGCGAATCGAGAAGTCGATTCTGTCATGTCTGTGGAGAGGAGACCTCTTGTAACCATGTTTGAAAGTTGTAGTTCTACCCTTGAGCACCAGGCGCGCATGGAGATCTGCAAGTGCTGCGCTCTACCAATGAAATACTATACTTCACGGATATGAGGTTTTTTTCAGCGGGGAGTAAGCTTACTCAATGGAGCCGAGTCCTTCCTGAGAAGCCAACAGTTGCTTAGCCACTCAAGAGATTCCCGAAGGTTCACTACTGTGTTCACAAAAGCCCATCACTGGTTCATGTCTTGAGCCAGATGAATCCAGTTTATACCACCCCATCCTATTTCCCTAAGATTAATTTTAATATTATCCTCCCACCTATGTCTGTGTGTTCCTAGTGGTCTCTTCCCTTCTGGTTCGCCCATCAAAACCCTGAATGCATTTCTTTTCCCTCCCACGCGGGCTGCGTGCTTTGCCCATCTCACCCTCCTTGACCTGGTCAGTCTAATTATAAATGGCGAGGAGTACGACTTATGAATCTCCTCTTTATTTAGATTTCTCGAGCTTCTCAGTACTTCATCCCTCTTAGGTTCAAATATTCCTCTCGTTCTCAAACTCCCTCAGTCTACGTTCCTCCCTTACACCCATACAAAACCAAAGGCAAAATTATACTTTTGTATTTTTTTAATCTTTACGATTTTAGACAGCAGACGAAACTTTCTGAACAGAATGGTTGCGAGCGTCGCCCGAATTTAATCTGCTTTTAATTTTGAATCCTTACTGTCTCTTCCAAATATCTTGGACTTTGCCACGTTTTCAAAGGATCCATCAGCTGAATTCTGGTGTTTGCTACTGGACTAACCTCATTACTCGTGTCAGATACAGCTTGTGTGTTTTTGTTTATAGTATTTGTGTTATCCCCCAGAAGATTTACTTCATCAGCACAGACCAGAAGCAGATGTGCTCCCCTTTTAATTTGGTATTTTCGTACGCGACTTTGGCACGCCACTGTATTTTGTGAACCATAAAAGACAGACAATGCTCCTTCTTCACTGGATTATCTGCCCTTATCGCTGACATTTTGGACCTGTCATCCAGTCTCAGAGTGAGTTATTTTGCCATTCATTTCAGCCCTGTGGATGGAGGCAGTTTGTTCCTCCGAAACATCTGCGAACAGGTCACCGTGATATATAACCCATTTGTCTGTTTCAGTCGACGTTTCGTAACGTGGAGTGAGTTTGTTATGAACTTAGTTGCTTCTTTGTGCTAAATTCTGTAGTTGGCCACGAAGTCGTCTTACTGACTTGGAGGATAAACTTTGTATAACTGAACTGTCTCGGTCTGTTTTCCTGGTGGCAGAATTTTGAAATATGTTTATGAAAGTGCGTTGTTATTTCCGGATTCTGACTCTTCAGAATATTATTTTTAAGGTGCATGTACAATTATTTTGCTCTGAATTCTTGTCTGTTGTATTTTAACATTCAGTAATAAACTTATTCTTCTGTTTTCCCTCCTCAAGCTTCAAGTTGGATGGATCACACGAACCTCAGGAGAGAAGGTAACGTGTTCTGCCTCCCATATGTTTTACGTGTGTGTGTAGCCCACCTTTGGTAGTCTTGCACGATGTGTCAGTAGGTTACTCAGTAGTTCCTGTAGATAGAAATATGGCAGTAATCGTATTATAAATTAAAGCTGTCCCCACTGTACGCCATGTAGGCGCTTGGTGGGGGAGCTCCTACTCATAGAAAGTTTATGCGATGATTTTGAGGGCGCAGGGCACCCGGAAAATAAGGATGGAAACCGTTTCGTACTCTCGATTAGTGTCCGATTACGAAAGAAATCGGCGTTACTATGATCGGACAGTTTGTCCCTGGGTTTAGAGCTTCGTGCCGAGGTGTAATTTAAAAAGTAAACAGGCTTGAGAAATATTTCGTAGCGTATTGATTCTGGTACGTTCGCCAGAATTTGGCCTTTGCGAGTTGGTCCCGGTGACGTCAGAGTTTGTTGGGTGGCTGGGGATTCCCCATGCAGGGCTTACTCATAACGTTGGAATTTTCGCAGGCAGGTCTTTGTGGCAAGTTTCCTCGATCCTTGAACGATTTTAACCGAAACTGGGATATGTCCACGAAGTTTAGGTTTGAAAATCAGTTGACTGTCCGCGTTACCTCCTAGGAATTAACTCTGTACCTGTTAGACGTGAGGAGTTGGGTGGTCCCTCTGAGCCGAGAATAATTCTACCCTGTATGGGATCGAAGCCGTGTCGTCTAGCCACGAATCTGACCGAGCTGTGGACTCGATTTGTTTTATTCAGGATAATGATTAATGGCGAGCGATCATCCCCCTGACAGTGGAAACATCAAGTACCTCTGAAACGTCGGTAGACTTCTACCAGGAATACAGTCCATCTTCGTACTTTCCGCGTTCTTGTGCTACCGTGACTGGGTACTCCGACCCTCGTTTGTGACGATAAAGGCGATGTTTGCGTTGGTGTAGAGGCATTGAATTTCAGGCCACTTGTTCGTGCCCCGCCAATCCGTTACTAGGACAGCGAGCGTCATGTTTGCCTTCCGTCTCTGCCTCTCGCCCTCCGCTAGTCTTGCTTTCTAACTCACAGCTGCAAGCGTGGCAGTGTGTGGTCTGCTAGCTTGCATGATAGACGTTTTTGAAGTTGTAGAGGTCGTTAGTTAGTTAATTAGTTAGTTAGTTTGTCCGTGCGTCATGACTTCGTCTCCAGACAGTGGCCTTTCTCTGGAGGAACAGCTGGAAAGGGAATGGTCCAAGGAGAGTCTCGAATGTGTGGACGTACACACACTTATCTCAATGTGGTGAGTTTCTCTCGGGTTCAGTTGTGACATGAATCGAACCGCGGGACTCCGGTTACGAAACTCCGTATTGTAACTAACCATACAAACGAACGAAATGAGTTCCTTTCAGACTGGTCTCGTTTGTAAATGAGATAAAGTTACATGTTTCATTGAGATACGTATTTCATAATAAATGTTTCTGTGGCACATATATTTTGTCATTTGATGAAACTCGAAAAATCCTGGGGGGGGGAGAAAAACAGGACACTTGAGTGAACAAAGGGCGGTTTTATGAAAGGTGTCATTAATTTTACCGTGGCCTGAAGGCAAATGACTGCGGCCGGTGGAGATCGCGAAGCTGACAGTTGGGCCAGACGGCGTTTCGACATGGCAGCTTTCACTCTCAAAGAGATTAGTTCCGACTGCTTTGGTTCTGTACTCTCTGCTCTTATTCAGCACTTACCCGAAGTTACGGGTCTCTCTCACTTTTGAGGTTGAACGTAAATATTAGAAGGCATCTGAAATCACGACGTCTGTTCGCGAAAGTATTTTGGAGCGAGAGGATTGAGAGTCACGTGCGTAACTATCACATTTATTCATATTATTACAGAATAAGATCGTATCTTACTTTTAAGTTAGTAATAAGTAACTTAACCTGCTACTAATTAGACACGCAATTAATGCTGATGTAATAAATCAAGGATGTTAGAAAAGGCTGGGCATGTGACTGGGGGAAACAATACATTTGCACAGAATTTTAGTGAGGAAACTCCTTTAAACAGCTGGGGTGGCTTAGTCAGTATAGCGACTGACTACGGTCTGGACGACCGGGATTCGGTCCCCGGCCGGGGTGTGACGCTGACCACTCACCCCCATCTAGTGCCGAGGTTAAGAATGAGTAGGAGCTATATCGCCTCTCCCTCCAAGCGCCTACATGGCGTATAGTGGGACAGCTTTACCTTAAATCTCGTTGAAAACTTCTGCATGGAATATGGAGATAAATCTTGGCGGAATCTGGTGGTGAGTGGTGGATGATGTTGACTGACGTATGTGATCTGTTAACGAAGATTTGGTTAGAGAAGTTCGCTCCTATTAGAATCCAAACCTAACGTGGTGTTCGGTTGTATACCGACCATCCTCTAGACCAGTGGTATTCAACCTTTTTTGTTCGCGTACCCCCAGATATAATTTATCTTCCAACTTTGTACCCCAAAAGTTGTTGGTGTATAATTCAAGTTATACGTAGTATATAATCTACATCTAAAATAAATTAAATAAATTACATTACTGATTATTCAGTGTTTATCATAAATTTTTTTTTTAAATTTCACGTACCCCCTAAGATGTCTTCGCGTACCCCCGGGGGTATACCACTGTTCTAGACGACGACACGAAATGTTATAATTCGCACCTGTACAGCCTTTGCGCAGTCGGTTTGCGCAGAGGCCTAGCAACAAGGTTGACATTTGCTCCAGTGTCGTGGGGGAGACTGGGTGAATGTGTTTAATTTTCAAGGACTTTGCTTTGTTGAGTTAGGTGCTCTTAGGATGAAGAATGATAATATTAAAAACAATGTAGTTACAAGCAACCCAGGGTGAAATGCGTGGATACGCACATGTATGTGCGTGAAAGAAGAAATTGGACTCTGGGCACTGAAAGTAGATGGTAAAATATTCAGCGCTCTGTTTCTAGTAAATTTTAGAGACCTTAGCGTCAGAAGTAAAGCAGCCCTCGCGAATTCTTCAGCACAAGCCGACGGATTCTTTTTCAGTGACGCAATCTGAGATGATAATATGCAGTTTATTATGAAACACTACACAGTGGCTCAGTAAATAAAAACTTACCTGAGTTGATATAATTGCGTCATATTGTGAATTAAAATTTAATTATTCGTGTTTTTTTTCCGTCTAATCACAATTGTATATAAATAAAATTTATACATAAGATATTAAAATATCATTTACATATTTGGTACATCTTTTTAGAAATTAAATAATTAAAACTTACCTGGTTTGTGTCTTACCCATCCGATGGTTGATTCATTCATATGTAAATCAGACTCGTTGATCTATTCTTGCTGAACAAACCGAGGTGCTGATGGATCATCTTACAAACGAATCCGTCAGATGTTTAAAGTTTAGAGTTTTGGGAGACTTGGATACAGCACGAAACCGGGATGGATGGCCGACAGATTCCAAAAATAAGACATGAATATAAAGCGAGAGGAAGAAGATAATCTGGGAGACCTAGAAAAAGATGGTCTCAGACGTGAGCAGGTTTTCAGAACGCCAGGCACTGGAACTTTTTTTTTGCGAAGGACCGAAATATTTTCTGCTTTGGGTGGGTCTGGTGAAGGATCGAATTCGTACCCTCGTTTCATTCTTGGAGTAACTGAAATTGCTCCGACTGTCCACTAGGTCAAATTTCTGTCCGATTGCCCTCGACGTTGTTCTGGGTCGTGACCCCGTTGACTTTAACGTCTCGTTTGATGAATTAGCTGTTGCCTGGCAGCGAAACAGGCTTTGACGTAATCGTTTTTGAATTGTACAGCCGAGTATGGAGATGGCTGTCTTCTGGGTTGCTGCGTCGTCTGGCAGAAGTTTGCCGACGTTTCAGAGGTGCTTGCTGCCTCCTTCTTCAGGGCGATGGGTCGTAATGTGAGGTGTGGACACAGGCGCCTATAACTTCTTCGTGTCTGTTTGATGTGAACGTGACTACATTTTTGTTGCTTGCGTAATGCTGATGACAGACAAGAATTTATTTATTTATTTATTTTAGTATTCCTTGTTCATAATGAGGTGCTTCATAACAGTAGCTGCTGTTTGACAGACGTTATTAGGTTGATCATATGAAGGAAGATGAGAATGGATTGAGGGATAAATCACGCGTGGGAAACAAAAGGAAACCTGATGGGAATAGATCAGTTAGGAGACCTCGATGTAGATGGGAGGACAATGAAGATGACAACTTCAATGTGTGCCGAAACGTCGGGTGTAATTTCTAACAACCGACGCCGCTCATCCCCGATAGTCAAAATTATGCGCCAGTGGCGGGCTTTTGTCAGCGCAGTAATGTACCTTAGGGATTTTTGATAAAATATGGGATGTTCCTTCACCAGCTGAGCGACTATTAGCTTTTCAATTACTCCGATCTATTATTTTTTACCCAAACTTAAGTCTCTTTAATTTACTTTTCATTCGTTCTTTATTATTTTATATGATCTTTCCGTTTTCGTTGTCTCTTTCATGTCCTCGCTAGTCGCGCTGATTCCATCGCGGAGTCTTCAGATTTGAGGCTCCTAGGATCGGCATAGCGAAGCCGCGTCATCTGTTTGTTAAAATCTGCAGCAATATTTGGCTAAGGAGTAGAAAGTAACACGCAGTGTACTTAAGCGTTTCGTTTCGGTAATCTCATAACTACGCCACTTTCACTGCTGGACAGACAAGCAACGTTTAGGGTTCCTGACGCGTGTACTGCGTAATTAAATATTACGGAGCCATTAACGACGAGATTCGGTTCCGGAGCGTTGATATTAAAGTTGGTTTCCAAGGGCGAGATACAGAAATTTTCTTTCGTGAAAGTGTCCTTCATGTGAAGCAGAGAGAGGCACGACTTTGTGTGTACGTGTGAATTGACGGCGTCACTTGAACTTCGTTCTCCGACACTTACGTCAGGTTTTGTTATGTACGTGCATCTTTTCGTGGTATTTGAACAGAGAAGACTTCAAGGAACGTAAAAGATTGAAGCACTGGTC